CCCCTTTTCAGTTTCGTTCATCTCTTCTACAAAAGAAAAGTGTTTGTTTTTCATTGTCCCTCAACATCCTCTTGTTTCCTTTCTGTCACTCACTAGTCCATGATTGTCTTTGCATGGGGCTAAAGCATGCATGATGACTCACCCTCTACCTGTCTTACCTGCTGTTTCTTCTTTTTCTTTCTTGTCCTTCACACTTTTGTGTCATTCAAATAATTTATCTTGTAGTTAATGTCTGATAACATATGTATCCGCTTATTGGTTCTCTCAGCTGTCTGTCATCATCATTTCATTCATCTTTTATTTATTTCACAGAGGATCTACACCAAGATCCATACATGATAAATGTATTTTCCCCTCCCGCTCTCCTTTGAGTCCTGTTCTCTCCATCATTTCTTTCTTTCATATGTGCCATAAATCACTGCCTCTTCCTTTTTCTGGTTTATTCTTATCCTCCTCCTCCTCATTGCTTTTCTTTGCCATTTTTATCTGACACCCATAAGTCATCTTCACTTTCATCCTCTGTATTCTTCCTTCCTTCCTTTACTCTGTCTTTAATATGGTCTGTGAAGTTGAAGTTCACCCCTGTTTTAATAGGGTGGAACAGTCTGCCTGCTGTTGTGCTGAATGCTGCATGGGAGGTTGGACTAATGCATGTTCACTAACTTGGGGGTGTGATGAGCTGAACAAATCTGGTGCACTTGTGCATGGTCAAAGCTTCTTGACAACTGTACTCACTGTATCTGAAGTTTTTTCTTTTTCTTTTCACTTTTAAGCCTTTTTTAGTCAGGATTTCATATTTAAGTGTATGGACCAGATGTAGAATTATGTAGAATTTCAGTTAACGTTACTTAGAGATACTTGATACACAGTATGAGGGGAAATCCATGGAAACAATATCTCATTTTGTTCTATTTTGGGCTATAGTGAATATACAGTTGCAGTATATTTGTTTTATTTTGCAGGGTTTCGCCTAGAGCACTACACTATGTCTGCAATTTATCAAAGTTAATCTCAGGCCTGTAATTAAACATTATAGTTGTAGTTTGATCAAGAACATTGAATCTGGAATCTTTTTCTTGCCCCTTACTTCAAAGATTTTTTAATTTATTTGTTCCAAAATGGCTTAAAATTGTGTTTTTCTATCAGTGGAAGCATCATTTTGACCAAACAGCCTTTGACATTTAAACTTATAGGGAAAAATGTGATCATTTAGAATTTCTTGATTTATCCAAGCAGCTGTTCTGGAGGAGAAGCCAGTGACATTGTTTTGCCAGTTACCTTTTTGAAAGGGCAAAAAAATATCGGGTTAAATGGTTTTCAGCTTTTCCTTTCCTGTTTTTTTTTTTAAACATAGAGTGCATCATGATGAGTGAGGTAGAAGGGTTGAGCTGGTACATTGAGCGTGTGCTGTGGCTCAATGTGAAGGCTGTGCTTCATGTTTGACGCTCCCTCCAAATGCCTGCAATCAAATATTTATGTAGTGCTGCCTCTCTCTGTTGTCCTCCTACTACACCCAGCCTGAGCAACCAGACTACTGCGCTATAGGCAGTTACACTACATATGGGACTGACACCTTGATCACTCCAAATCCTCATATTTGACTTTAATATGGTGCATTTAAGAGAATATATTTATTTAGTTATGTGGACACCCATTTCTTAGTTTGGGTGTTTCAGTGGAAGCTATTAAAACAGCAAATGATGGATCAACTCCCTATTTATGCCCATAGTTTTAAAGTTAAATGTTCAGAAAGTACAAATCAGTGACGAGTTCACATACTTTTTGTAATGTTGCAAAAAGCTGTGTTCTCATTAGATAATAATGCTGTTTTGCTTGTGCAACTGCTATGCATTGCACAAGATGCATTGAAATGTTTCAATATATGTAGATATAAATACATTTTAAGATATAAATATATTTTAATTCATAAAATTGTAATTATTAATTTATTTAATGTTATGTTTTTAAAAGCATCAGAGAACAATTGAGGACTAGGTTTTAGAGTAGTGAAACTGCTTACAGCCTGGCACAAACGTATTTGCCTGCTATTTTTTGCTAAACCTTGTTTGTGCTGACTCTCTGCAAAGTAGATCAACTCTGAGAAAAATGATGACTGTACTGAAAACAAGTTGACATTTTTTTGTTCTTGAGCCCCATATACAGCTCCATAGATAGTCGTTTAGCTTCAGCGTTCATAGAAACAGCACAAGAGACTCCGATATTTTGACCTCTTTTCCATTGCTCTTTCTTTTTCTCTCCATTCTCTCTTCCTCTCTTTCTCTTGCTCTCTGTGTTAATGGCAAGGTAAGGAGCTCCACTCACTTTAGAGTATTAGAGGTTACTTCACTACTCCTGCTCTTTCTACAGGGACGCATGCTCATTTCTTCTCCCTGATCTCTTTGGGCCACCGGATGGATGGATTGGCCCAGATACAGTTCTAGGAGGATCTGTATCAAATACCAACCTTGAGTGTCCCTGTTCTTTAGTTTATGACCAGAAATACAGCACATGTATTCATTTTAGACTTAATTGCTTGTGCAATCTCTTGCTATGTTGTACCTCTTGAATTTTTTTAAATGCACAATTCCAGCACACGCCATCTTAATTGACATAGCTGTATCTGTAGGATCATTTTACAAAATTTTCTAAATTACAGGGTTTTGCTGAAATTGAATTAAACGCACAATACCTTAGAAAGGTTAAGATAGCCTTCAAGATGTACAATAGGGATGGGCACAAGTACCAGTGTACTCGGAATGTAAATAATGAAAACACATTTGTTTCATAACTCAGTTTGATTGAATCAAAATATAAATGAATTGGGATTGCTTAAATGATCATATTTGCAGTACTTAAGTATAGAAAATTATTAATTGCTGTATAACCTGAGGGATGAAATTCAAAATCTCTTCTGTGCTTTATTAATAGTCTAACCAACTCTGGCTGTAAAAGTCTTTGAGCAAACAGACTTGCCAAATGAGTCTGTAATGGTGTTACTGTGATTTAATACAAAAAAAAAAGAAGTGATCTGAATGAACTGCTTTAAAGGTGCTTGAGAGAGTGTGTGTGCATTTATTTGCATATGTATTTTGAATATGAAATGGTACAAGAACCATCAATGAATGACAGTGATTGTGTCAAATGCTTCTTTTTACTCATTAATGATTGTTTTATATTAGGGCTGCACGATAAATCGCATGCGATATTTAACGTGCATCTTATCAGTAAAGCCGGTTCTGTAATCAGCTGTAAATCTCCATCACGTGCATGCTTTCACATTGAGCAGCATTAACTACACAGAGCCGTTGTTCACTGACGAGCTGCGCAAAACCACGTTCATATTCGCGCAATTTTTTGCAAAGCTCGTCAGAACTGTTCAATCTGAGGGGCCATGGGTGACACTTTATAATAAATCTTAATCTGTTTAAAAGTAATTGTTACTTTTATATAGTACTTAATTGGTCATTAGTTTTTGAACAAACAAACAAACAGTTAGGTATCATGAAACATTGAATTGTATTTAAATTTCATACACACTACCAAATAGAAAGTTCAAAATAACAGCATTTAAAGGGGTCATATGATGCGATTTAAATTTTTCCTTTCTCTTTGGAGTGTTACAAGCTCTTGGTGCATATAGAAGATCTGTAAAGTTGCAAAGACTAAAGTTTCAAATCCAAAGAGATATTCTTTATAAAAGTTAAGAGTCAGCCACACCTACCTAAAATGGCTCATTCTAACACGCCCCCACATACCTACGTCACTATCTGGGAAGATTTGCATAATGCCGCCCAAATGTTCACGCAAAGAAAGAAGGCGTAACTTTTATTTTCGCTGTAGTATTGTTGCTGCCGCCGCGTCGTGAAGGCGCTGTGTGCTTCATTGTGAAAGCGAAACTACTTTGTTTGGCCTTCCAAAAGAGGACGATATCGCTTCGTCATGCCTGGAGCTGATCCGTGCTGGTCGCTGAGGAAATACTTCAACTTTGCGCTGTGGATCACCGGATCGGCTTTCACCGTGGACGAAGCAGAGTCCAGCCCGGGGTCGTCACATGTGGTTGCCGCAGGCATCACAATATGGTAAGGGACGTAACATTTCCGTCACACTCTTGAGGAATTCTGCCAATCACAACGCACTGGATAGCTGGCCAATCAGAGCACACCTCACTTTTTCAGACCGATGAGCTTTGTAAAAATCGAAGCGTTTCAGAAAGGCGGGGCATAGAGGAGAAACAATAATGTACAGTATGTGGAAAATAAGGTGTGTTTTTTTTACCTTAAACCACATAAACACATTTCATTACACCAAATACACAAAATAATGTTCTTTTTAGCAGCATCATATGACCCCTTTAAAAAAAATTGTACTGACTCCAAAGTTTTGAACAGTAGTGTATATTCAAATTCATATCTACCTGTACTTTGACTGCTGATCTAGTAAGAGTTAAAGGGTTAGTTCACCCAAAAATTAAAATTAGGCTGCGTTTTACTTTACCCCCGAGGCATCCTAGGTGTATATGACTTTCTTCTTTCAGAAGAATCCAGTCGGAGTTATATTAAAAATGGTCTTTGATCTTTCAAGCTGTTTAATGCCACTCAGCGAGTGTTGCATTGCTTCAGTCCAAAAGAACTTTAAAAAAAAATCGCCCATCCATAAAAAAAAGTGTCACGCTGACCTCATACGTCATGCTCCCGGAACTGCTTCTGTGTACAACTGCTGGTGCAAGCTACATTAAAGTGATTATTACGTTTTGAATATGGATATTTTTCTTACAAAAACACATCGATTCGCTACAGAAGGCCTTTGTTCACCCCCCGCAGCCGTGGGAGACGCTTCTTTTTATGGATGGGCGATTTTTATTCAAGTTCTTTTGGACCGAAGCAATGCAATACCCGCTGAGTGGCATTAAACAGCTTGAAAGATCAAAGACAATTTTTAATATAACTCCGGACTGGATTTGTCTGAAAGAAGAAAGTCATATAAACCTAGGATGCCTCGGGGGTGAGTAAAACGCAGCCTTATTTTCATTTTTGGGTGAGCCAACCCTTTAAATAATGCATTGTTTATGACTCATGAATGAAATTTATTATAAAGTGTCATTGCAGAAATCTGGCTGTATCAGACTGATGAGTAGGCCAACACAGAATCTGCCTTCGCAAAATGTTCTGGATATTTTAGCAAAATTTGAATTCCTATTATTCACAAAGTTGTGTCCATCTCCTATTTTTCCATGTTTAAATCCATTCCATGCAATTCCCCCCCCAAACAAAGTGCAGAACCAAAAATCTGCAGATTCCGTCTGGGTCTAGTTATAGTTTGCAAGATTGTTAGTATGATTAATAATTGCAGTGTTATGTTTCATTTTAGGAAATATAGCCCTGGTTGAACTTCCTTTCCAGCAGGTTAATTGACCATTTGTAATAGGCAGTATGGTGTTGTTGATTTAACGTTTCTCTTATTTCCTCCCATTGTAGCAGCCAAGAGCTTGTTGAACAAAAAAGCAGACGTTAAGGTAAGAAGATCTGTTGAACTTCTGACCTCTGTGACCCAGACATGACCATATGTCTTCTCTCTTTTCACTACTCTATCGCTCTGCCCTGTTATCTTACTGGCTAATCTGTCAGTGCTTGCATAGAGTGTGTTCTTTATTGCATGATTGTGTTTTTTACACGAGTATTATTAGTTCATATTGTGTTTGATGTGTGTGTATGGGTGTGTTTGTTTTAGGACTTGAGAGTTTTTAAACCTGACCTCTGACACCTAAAATCACCTTATTAAAATACAGTATAATTCAGTATCGGTCTGATTAAGTCTAGTCAACCTCTCCTGAAAACTGATTTCACCTTACTGACAGATTTAAAAAATATTACAAAAATTTCAGAGATCTCTGTTTTTAAAGGGTAGTTCAAAGGGTAGTCATCATTTAGTCAATACTCATGTATTTCTGATTGTTATTTTTACATTAAACACTAGAAGAGTTAAAGTTAGCTTAGCATTAAATGTTTAAACTGCACTTTTTCATACAAGGAAAGCAGATGGTAAACAATGGCTGTCAAGCAAATGTCTGTCTGTTCTTCACACAAAGAATTCCTATATCTTCAGAAGACTTGTAAGGTAATTTGTGCATTGACAGCTAATGATTACCATCCACATTCATTGTAAGCAAAAGAGCAGGCAGCTTGGACATCACCTTTTGTGGTTCCATAAAAAAATTTAAAGGATTTAATCGCAGTCAAAATAAAAGTTTTATATATACACATACACATATATATGTGTGCTGTGTATATTTATCATGTATATATAAATACACACACATACATGTAAATATTTTACAAACTTATTGCAAAACTTACAAACACTGCATACACTACCGGTCAAAAGTTTGGGATCAGTAAGACTTGTAATGTTTTTTAAAGAAGTCTCTTATGCTCATCAAGGCTGTATTTATTGGATCAAAAATACAGAAAAAAAACATTAATCTTGCAAAATGTTATTACAATATAAAATAATGGTTTCTATTTTAATATAAATTAGATTTGAATGTATATTAAAATAGAAAAACTTTATTTTATATCATAATAATATTTCACAATATAATTTTTTTTCCTGTATTTTTGATTAAAAAAAATACAGCGTTGATGAGCATAAGAAACTCCTTTAAAAAATTTTTTTAAATTGTTCTGATCCCAAACTTGTGACCGGTAGTGTGTATATATATATATATATTTAGATATAATTTATATTATATTTTATACATAAATATAAAATTTTTCCTAAATATATACTTGCATGTGTGTGTATCATGTAAACACAAACTTTTATTTTGGATGCGATTAATCGTTTGACAGCCAATCTATCAATAAGACCATGTTTAAATCCAACGCCCAAGATTCCACACATTCGCATAGAAATATAAAAGTATAAACCTCGCGATGAGTATTTTAGTGAATTTTTATGGACTGTCTAGCAGTCATATGAGCATGGAAATACATGGTTATTTAGCTACCAAATAAAACCTACCTTTAACACACTTCCCCATATTTAAATCCATTCCACAGAATTCCACACATTAGAGCGAAAAGTAAAAATCGAGTGCGGATTACACAATGAACCTCGTGTTGAGTATTTCAGTGAATTTGCTAGGCTCTCTAGCTGACATAAGAGTGTGGAAATATAAGGTGTTACCAAACACTGTAACAAGCTCTATCATGGAGCCAGTGATACCACTGAAAGATGAGTCGAAATGAAAGTTTTATTTCCGTCAGCGCCTTTAGGCGTGTGGGAGACATTTAAGAATATGATATAACGACGACGGCTGTGATGCCATTGAGGAATCTATGGAATCTTCCACAAGAGCCAGAGTAATTTGATTCATGAAACAGGATTTTCAGAGATGAACTGCACATAACACTTAGGGGAGTGTTCGCAGACACACTCAAAACACATTTCTACCTGTTTCTACTTTGTCGTCACCCCCACTACCCACCTATGTGACTCACACCTGCTATCTCCATGTGTATGTATGTACGTGTGTGTGTGTGTGTGTTTGAGCGGAGAAATAGTTCAGTGGGAAATGCGACTCTGGTTCCAAGAATAGCCGTGAGTCTGAAACCCTGGAAAATCTGAGACTAAAATAGCAGCACAGCGCTCCTCTCATCACCTAGCAACAGGCTCCCCCACGTCCTCTCCACCCATTTTAAAATATTTCTTCTGTCCTTTTCACGATTACTTTGTTTTCTCTCCTTCCTTCACCTTTATGCTCCGTCGCCGTCTTCCGAGTTCAAGCTGAGCTGATCTTTATTTAGTCTCTGTCACTATTTTTTCAAATTAACTGAAGCTGACTTCCTCACTTTTTGTGTCTAAATCTTTGCACTACCGCTGGTTATGTAATTCTGCTTTGGAGGTGTTTTTATTTAGTTTTTTAATATGGCAGTTGCACCGATTGGAAGTTCAACCAAAGCACTTCTGAGAACATTCTGTGCTTAATATAACTCGTTCTTGGCTGCCCTTTTTTTAGGACAAAAAATATCACTGAACCACACAGACTGTGCTTGCTTCCTCTCTCAGCAACCCTGCCTGTCCTTGCACATCATTCCTACTTTGTGTAGCCCCTACGTTGTTTTCCCTGCTCCAGGTTCAGGGCCAAATTGTCTCTGAACGGTAACTGTCATATGTCACAAACAACTGACCCCGGCTCAGGTAACTTTGCTTACAACTGATCATTCCTCAGGTGCACTTCAACTATTCTTCTGCTAGTGGCATGTTTCTCTCTCCTTTTTCCTTCACTTGACCCACTACCCTTCCTTGTTCCTCTTCCTCCAAATTTCCTCTTGTACAGAAGAACCTTCAAGTCTACATATTGTCTTGCTCTGAACCCAGACCTTCACATGCACTCCAAAATTATTTTTCAAATCGTTTTCTTTGACTAAAATACACACAGCTCTGACAGCATTTGAGATCTCCTCCCAGCACTTTTCTCTTCACCCCAAATGAACATTAAACAAGTCAACAGCTACTTTTTTAGATACCGTCTCAGTTTCCACCATTTTTCTCACTTCTCTCCTTTTCATTCTCTCTGTAGAAGCGGAAGTCGAGCTCTACCATTCAGTACATGGTGAGAATCCTGTTTCATTTACACCCTTCTATTTTCTTTCGTCTTCCTCTTCTTGTACCTCCACCTACTGTACTGTTGCTAATGTGCAACACTTTCCTCTAAAGTCTTCCTGCATTTCTGTGGGACATAATGGAATGATGGCCAGTATAAAACATACTCAGACTGGTTCTATTTTTAAAAATCTGGGCCGTATTCCAGACGAAACTGGTGTAAATGCATCTGGTTTTTGAAACCACATATGTAAATTTTACTCCTCCCAAAATGTTAAAATAATAAACGTGTGAGAGCGTGTTATAGGCTATATGACATTATAGTCATATATGACTGTGCTAATGCAACATGCATCGCCGCGGACGAGTAGCTAAGTATCTCATCAGCAAGCCGACGCACAAACTGCCACGAATTAAACAAAGTAAGGGCCTGTTTACACCTGGTCATTTCATGCATTTTTGCTGATTGGATAGCTATCTGATTTGTTAAAACGTTTCCATTTACACTTGGGCACATAAATGTGTTGTCGCAAAACGGATATAAATCCGATCTTCAATTCCCGCGCTATATTTAAGTTTAACGGAGTTCAAGTCTACGAAATCAAAAGATAAACACTGCATTTGATTAATTATCAGCTCATTTCAAGATCAAAGACCGAAATAGGAGAGTGCGCGGCATCAGCACTGGAAAGATACGTTTGTCTTACTACTTTTAATGAAGATGATTGTGTGTTGACCGTCTGCGTCTTACTTTGTTTCATTCGCGGCAGTTTGCGCGTCGGCTTGCTGAAGAGATACTCAGCTACTCGTCCGCAGCGATGCGTGTTGCATTAGCGTAGTCTGACTAATGTCATATAGCCTATAACACGCTCTCACACGTTTATTATTTTAACATTTTGGGACGAGTAAAATTTGCATATGTGGTTTCAACAGCCAGATGTATTTACTCTGGTCCAGTTTCGTCTGGAATGCGGGCCAGACCACCTCCTGAAGTGGTTTGAGCGATCAAATTTATATCCATCTCGAATGTGTTTCGGGGGGCATTTACACCTGGTCTTTTTACAATCGGATAGCTATCCGATCATAAAAAACGCATGAAGTGACCAGGTGTAAACAGACCCTTAGACGCAGACGGTCAACACACAATCATCTTCATTAAAAGTAGTAAGACAAACTTATCTTTCCAGTGCTGATGCCGCACGCTCTCCTATTACAGTCTTTGATCTTGAAATGAGCTGATAATTAATAAAATGCAGCGCTTATCTTTTTATTTCGTTGACGTGAACTCTGTTAAATTTAAATATAGAGGGGGAATTGAAAATCGGATTTAAATCCGTTTTGCGACGACACATTTATGTAGCCAAGTGTAATTGGAAACGTTTTAACAAATCAGATAGATATCCGATCAGCAAAAACGCATGAAATTACCAGGTGTAAACAGGCCCTCAGCATCACAGACTGCCCACACTCTATCCACTGAGCACCTGATTCATATTATGTGATTGGCAGACTTCAACAGCTTTTCAATAGTAGAGGCCTGTTCACATCAAGAATTATAACAAAAACTATGTTCGTGTCCACACCTGTGGTTGAGAACGCTTGTAGAATTAGAACAAATACTAAAACTATATAGTTAAGCCCCTGATACACTTTTCGTTCTTTGCTGAGGGGTAAAAGAAGATGGAGCCTGCCTCTGACCAATGGTAAACAACAGCTTTGGAACTTTTGAAACTATTGTATGGAGCTGTTCTGGAAAGTTTGCTTTGGCAAGGTGTTTTGAACTCCCCACACTAACTTTATTTTGCCTTGATTTTGTTCAAAATCAGGTTTATTCTTTGATTTTGCTTGATGTATATCAGGGCCTTTAATAGTTCTCGTTATCATCTTTGGTGTGAACAGGCCTTAAGGGCACACGTCTAGTCTTACTTTATATGATCAATTTCAGATAAACCCATCCCAAAGTGGCACATAAAAACTAAATGGACAGAATGGTTGCAGTCAGTATCTGAATGTCTAAGTGCACAGTTCTTGGCCAGAACACACTGTGGACTAGACTTTTTGGAGTTCAGATCTGGCTTTGTGAGACCTCTTGGTCCCAGTAAAAGTGTCCTATTTCTTGAGTATTTTCTGACAAACACTGGTTTCCTCATTGCTGTTCTTTCTTTTGTTTGAATCATTTTGACCGGCTTCCTTTGACACCACAAACCTCCTGGATCTCATTCTGCATGTTGGTAATTGGATGTATTTTGGTTAATACTGACCATTCTGGAAGCTTTCTAAAGCAGGTTTAGGAGAGGCCTTTCTGTTCATACACAGGTAGGCAATGGAATAGTCATGTAGAGTAAGACCCTGTGTTTTCCCAGTTCCACCCTGTGTTTTTCCCAATATTTCCATAAGATCTGAAGATCCTATTTATGCACAGCCCAGGGTTCTGACTGCACCAAATCTGCTTGTTTCCTTCAACTTACATTTATTTGCAGGATTGACGCTTATATTCTCAGTGTTCAGGATTTTTTTTTTTATGGCTCCCATAAGAGGATAGCATTGCTGGTTGTCCTTCCCAACAATATCCCTGTTTACTTGAATAAAGTTGGACTTCCATGGAGATGCATGACCATCTGTGATAAGTCTTTGGGAATTGTTAATGAATTCTGTAAGCCATCAAGTGGTCCAGTTACAAGGAACAGTGTGTATTTGAATGGATATGTGTGCCCATACTGCCAAAGTCATTTTATGATGTGTTTTTGCTCATGGATGTGAATTTGTTTCATACTTGTGAGGATCCAGTAGTCGTGGGCTGCTGTTCATTCATCTCCCTTGACCATGCCTCCCGCACATAGACACATAATAACAACATTCGCGTGAGTGCCTGAGCTGTACAAGGGAAAATGGACCATTAGATACCACTGCAAGCTCATAAACATGAGTCCTGAGGGACCCCCGAGTACAAATAAACACCCATAGCTAATCCGCCTCTGCATGTAATGTGGCTAATTGGTATAATGGATTAGTTTAGGAAGCCAATTGGTGAAAAACATTTTATAGACTTTAATAATGAACCTCCCTTCCCTTTCACTGCTTGAGAACATTGTGTCTCAATGAATAACACTGTTTTCATGTAAATAGGTAGTTGGCACTACATCAGTCAGTTACTTTAAAACAGATAATGACGGTACCCTACTGCATGTGTTTGTGTGAGTGTGCTTGTGTACATGTGCATGCCGAACTCTCCCTCGTTCCTTCTTAACTTGACACTTTCTTAATCCGAATGTATGTTGTGTTTCCCTGCACAGCCCCAGACAAACAGCACCAAAAACAGCATAGTCACCAGTCCCAAGGGAAACCTCCCCTCTCCTGCACTGGTATTTACCTCTCTAGTCTCAGTTTCCACCATTTTTCTCACTTCTCTCCTTTTCATTCTCTCTGTAGAAGCGGAAGTCGAGCTCTACCATTCAGTACATGGTGAGAATCCTGTTTCATTTACACCCTTCTATTTTCTTTCGTCTTCCTCTTCTTGTACCTCCACCTACTGTACTGTTGCTAATGTGCAACACTTTCCTCTAAAGTCTTCCTGCATTTCTGTGGGACATAATGGAATGATGGCCAGTATAAAACATACTCAGACTGGTTCTATTTTTAAAAATCTGGGCCGTATTCCAGACGAAACTGGTGTAAATGCATCTGGTTTTTGAAACCACATATGTAAATTTTACTCCTCCCAAAATGTTAAAATAATAAACGTGTGAGAGCGTGTTATAGGCTATATGACATTATAGTCATATATGACTGTGCTAATGCAACATGCATCGCCGCGGACGAGTAGCTAAGTATCTCATCAGCAAGCCGACGCACAAACTGCCACGAATTAAACAAAGTAAGGGCCTGTTTACACCTGGTCATTTCATGCATTTTTGCTGATTGGATAGCTATCTGATTTGTTAAAACGTTTCCATTTACACTTGGGCACATAAATGTGTTGTCGCAAAACGGATATAAATCCGATCTTCAATTCCCGCGCTATATTTAAGTTTAACGGAGTTCAAGTCTACGAAATCAAAAGATAAACACTGCATTTGATTAATTATCAGCTCATTTCAAGATCAAAGACCGAAATAGGAGAGTGCGCGGCATCAGCACTGGAAAGATACGTTTGTCTTACTACTTTTAATGAAGATGATTGTGTGTTGACCGTCTGCGTCTTACTTTGTTTCATTCGCGGCAGTTTGCGCGTCGGCTTGCTGAAGAGATACTCAGCTACTCGTCCGCAGCGATGCGTGTTGCATTAGCGTAGTCTGACTAATGTCATATAGCCTATAACACGCTCTCACACGTTTATTATTTTAACATTTTGGGACGAGTAAAATTTGCATATGTGGTTTCAACAGCCAGATGTATTTACTCTGGTCCAGTTTCGTCTGGAATGCGGGCCAGACCACCTCCTGAAGTGGTTTGAGCGATCAAATTTATATCCATCTCGAATGTGTTTCGGGGGGCATTTACACCTGGTCTTTTTACAATCGGATAGCTATCCGATCATAAAAAACGCATGAAGTGACCAGGTGTAAACAGACCCTTAGACGCAGACGGTCAACACACAATCATCTTCATTAAAAGTAGTAAGACAAACTTATCTTTCCAGTGCTGATGCCGCACGCTCTCCTATTACAGTCTTTGATCTTGAAATGAGCTGATAATTAATAAAATGCAGCGCTTATCTTTTTATTTCGTTGACGTGAACTCTGTTAAATTTAAATATAGAGGGGGAATTGAAAATCGGATTTAAATCCGTTTTGCGACGACACATTTATGTAGCCAAGTGTAATTGGAAACGTTTTAACAAATCAGATAGATATCCGATCAGCAAAAACGCATGAAATGACCAGGTGTAAACAGGCCCTCAGCATCACAGACTGCCCACACTCTATCCACTGAGCACCTGATTCATATTATGTGATTGGCAGACTTCAACAGCTTTTCAATAGTAGAGGCCTGTTCACATCAAGAATTATA